TACTATGATCTTTTACTAATTTTATAAATTATATACAATTTAATTACAATTAAATATCAATATGTGTATGTAATATTACTTAAATGCCTATGATTTATTATTAAACTTGTTTTCTCTGTGTAATACTGAAAATAAATAGGTACATGATACAATTGAATTTACATATTTATATATATATATATGTGTCCATATATACATATATAAAATATACATTATGGATATATGAATAGACAGACCGACAGATAGATAGATAGATAGATAGATAGATAGATAGATAGATAGATAGACAGACAGACAGACAATCAGACTTGGAATAAATCTGAAAGACCTTGGTACAAATTCCAAATCCTACTTTGGATACTAATTGTGTAACAGTGGCAAGTTATTTACTTTCTTTGTGTTTCAGTTCCCTCATGTGAAAAATGAGAGTAATAATAGCACTTAGCTCATAGGATTGTTGTGAGGAAAAAACAATGATATAACAAATGTAACGCACTTTGTAAAACTTCGTAGCAAGTGATACATAAATATGAACCATTACTATTGAATTTATTTACCTTATGAATAATTAGGATATCTGGAAGAGAAGGATGTTTATTATGTATGTTTTAGCCATTGATTATTTGTCATTAAATTTCCATTGAAAGGAGAACCCAGGGAATCATTGGGCATGGCAGCCATGTGGACTGATTATACTTACAGATGATGCTGTGGAGACAGTTTACTAAGTCACTCTTTTGTAAGAGTACACAAACTTTTGCCCTTATACAACAGCATGATAGAAATACTTGTTGAATAGAGACTTTTCATATTTTCTTTCACTATCCATAAGCTTTACTAATAAAATGAAAACCAAAAGTGCTATCTAAATTTCAAGTGTTATTACTCTTACATTCTACTAAAAAAAAACCCCCACAGTTAAAATCCCAGTGAGTCCTGAGATTACTCTTGAAACATATTACATTTTTATACTTCATGTTACTCTCTCAGTAAGGCTAAACCATGCATTTACACTTGCTTGCTTTTTTAGTAAATAGCACTTTTCTTAGAATAGAGTCTGTCTTACACATGATGATGGCTCAGTGAAAGGAGCACCGGATTTGAAGTTAAAGCCTGATTTTGAATCCTAGTTTTGCCATTTACTATGATCTTTGGGCAGCGAGGTGGCACAGTGGATAGAGCTCTGGGCCTGGAGTTAGGAGGACTCATCTTCCTGAGTTCAAATTTGGCTTTAGACACTTACTAGTTGTGTGACACTGAGCAAATCACTTATCCCTCTTTGCCTCAGTTTCCTCAACTGCAAAATGAGCTGGAGAAGGAAATGGCAAACCACTCTAGTTTCTTTGCCAAGAAAACCTCAAATGGTATCACGAAGAGCTGGACACAACTGAAAAAAAAAAGACTGAACAAACTGTGGTCTTGGGCAATTCAGTTAATTTCTCTAAGGATATTTGATTTTGGAATTTCTTCTTTCTTCCTAGTCCTCCCAACATCAACATGGTGGCCTTTCATTTAAGATACAAAGAACATTTTCCCCATTATTCCATTTGAATTATGCATTGATATGTAATATAACTGAATAATGACTTTTCTTTTAACTACTCACTTCAATTTTTTTAGAGTCCAATTTTATTTTTGGTAGGGCCTAAGCACACAATTTCATCAGTAGAATGTTTTGAATTTTAAAAGATATAAATGAATAACTCAACTTGCCAACAGCTTAAGAAACATGTATTTAATTCCTAGGATGTTATTTACAATAGATATCTCTAGATACATGTTATTAATCTGGGATTAGCCTTTCTTAAGGTCCTAAAGTGACAGCTGTGGAACTTACCGATAGACATTACTTATATTCCATGTTTTTGTTTCAGTGTTGATGATTTAATAACTGCAATAAAACGGGCTTCTAAATGATCATATTGTTTTCTACTTATTGACTGTGTCTAGGCTTAAGGTATACATACTTTTCAGCTCTCTTTTTGAAGGATGCATTTGTTTGTTCTCCTGACTACATCAGAAGGAAAGAAACACTTGGGGAAAAAAAAGGACAAGACTGGATGCTAACACTGTCCTTTCATTAACAATTCTATCTTTCTCCACATGGCTCCTCCACTGGCAAAGCTTTTATTTCTTCAGTCTTCATAGCTCTAGAATATTATTTTATCTGGCTACTTACATAAATGGGTATAGGATGAAAATTCATTTAAATGAGTGGGGCAGATTTCTACTGATTTAAAGATGCTCCTGATCATGGTTACATTTCTAAAATAAAATTATTTGGGGGGTAATTTCTCTCCTAATATATTCCACATATCACTTCTTTTCCAAATGTTACTGATTTGGAAAACCCTTATATAAGGAGAATTTGGTAAGGAAACCATAAGGTTTTCTCAAAGCTAGATAGTCAATAGATAAGAGAATTTCCACTGTCGTTGACAGAAAATGGAATTCCTAAAATCTAAAGTGAATCACTTGTCTAAATTGAAATGATGACTAGTACAAATATTTTATGTTAAAGCATGGTCTCCATAGGCTGGGAAATGCATTGCTAAATCACTGTAAAAATGGAGAAGTAGTATTCATGTACTCATTTCTGACAACTCAAACTCCAATTTCATAAAATATCAAGAAAAGATGTACTTGCTTGTCTTTTGCATTTGGCAAATGTAAAACTATATCATGAATGTTTCTGTTTGAGATAGAAATGTATTTGAGTGTATACAGATATATTATACATATACATATATGGAGAGAAACAAAGAGAGAAAGACAGAGACAGAAAGAAAGAAAAAGAGAGACTGAGAGACTGAGAGAGACAGAGACAGAGAGACAGAAACACAGACAGAGAAACAGAGAATAACAACCAACAAATGTTTTTGTCCAGACATGTGATTTCATCAGTTTTGACAACCTTCTGGAAGGAATTTACCAGTATAAATTAACATCTCTTCCAGAACATATAATCTTAAATAGTTGCTTGGAGCTACAAGAAGTTAAATGATTTGCTCAAGGTCATGCTGTTGTATGTGGTAAGCTCAGGACTTGTATCGACTTCCTGGCTTCAGTCTTCTCACATAACATACCATTATGTATCTTACATATGAATATACACGCATAATACATTTACTTATATATGCCCATACCCAGATTGGATGGATAATATGTAGATGAAAGATGATAGACAGATAGTTGGTTGTAAATCCCAAAGGGTTAGGTGCTTTTGATTATTTACAATACTTGGTCTTAATGACTAAAAATACATTGATAGTAACCTCAGAGGCAATATCATTTAATCTACAAGTTTCTCCCTTAGCACACAAGCATGCTGTTAGACATAGCAATGAAAAAACAAAATGTTATGAGAAAGTGAATTAGAAAAAATTACCATAATTTTACAGGTGATTAAACTAAGATATACAGAGGTTAAATGAGCTACACAAGGTCAAAGATAAAATCTCCAGGCTCCTAATTTCTAGTTCAATTTCTTGATTATAAATTCCATTCATGATGCTATCAATGACCAAATTTAAAATAGAGAGGAATAAAAAACAAACTCCAATTCCTTCACCCAATTTTCAAAGATATTTCCAGAATTTTGAAAAAGCTATAAATTCATTTACAAGTAAAAAAGTGCATTTCAAAAGAAAGCACAACATTTCAAGTAAAAAAATTAGTATGAACTGGTTTCCCCAAATACTGGTGTGTGCAAATTAAAAAGAAATAGAAAGATCTTATGAAATATCCTTCATGATAAACTATCAAGTCTAGTATTGTTCTCATTTTAAAGACATTTAAGTACTATATGTTATTGTAGATGTCTCCAAATAATTGTTTTTTAAAAGATGTTCTTAAGGGTTTACCAGAAATTTTGTTTGAAATAGAATCCCAAAAATCTAAGCTTGAGGTTAATTATAATAGCTAAACAGTTTCAGAGAAGAGTTTAGTATAGGATATTGGATAATCTGTCAGATACAGTTAATGTTTTGGCTGATTTTACTGAATTGTTCTTTCCCCACCCACTCCCTTATAAAAAAAATATTGCAAGTGATAGCTTTCTGGGTATATGAATGGGGAAGGATGTACTCTGAAATGAAAGCAATGTAAAAGCAAAAGACAAGGGGCAGCTAGGTGGCACAGTGGACAGAGCACCAGGCCTGAAGTTAGGAGGACCTGAGTTCAAATCCAGCCTCAGACCAAACACTTGACACTTAGTAGCAGCATGACTCTGGCCAAGTCACTTAACCCCAACTGCCTTACAAAAAAGAAAGTCATCAGTGTATTAATCTTTAAAGCTAAAATTAAGGGCTCTACCATCACAAAAGGTAATTTACTGGTCTGTAGTAGTGGACTCACAAATTCTGCTCCTTCTTTAGCATGAACCAAACTCCATTTCTAGGAGGTTCCAATGCATAGAATGTATGGAAATGTATAGAAATAGAACAATGGGGGAAAAGAGTCTATCGAGGTTCGAAGATGGGGAGAAAAAGAGAAGAGATAGAATTTTCCAATTCTTTAAATGATTTTATGATTAGCAGCACTAATTGCACACCACATATGCATGCTAACACCTTCATTCCATTTGAGAAAATCAGCCTCACACTGAGGGAATGCCATATTATTTCCTCCATGTTCTTTCAATTGAAATTTATCATAGTTGTATAAGTACATATGTTCAATTACTATAAACAAACAAACAAAAACCCAAAACATATAATAAGCATTCTCTTCCAAATATGTTGTTATTCTATTGATCATTTTTATATGCCATAACATGGTCCTGTTGTCTAGAAAAAAAAGACCAAAAAAAGATCTGGAAAGCACCTAGAAATGACCAAAGCCACCTACTTAATTTTATTTTTTTCACCCAGATATTTATTGATCATGTTATTATTAACTGAAGTCCTCTGGTTGCATTGCTTTAGGTGGGGCTTTAGGTGGAAATGAAAAGGTCTTTTGTATTGATGCAACAACATACTTAGACCAAACCCAGACAAAGTCTATCTATTATAACCTCTTATATTTAATCTTTTCCAGATTTTTTCTGGGTTATCTGAAAGTCTGGGAAGGTTTTTATGGATTTCTCCAATGAGGATGAGAATATCTTTGATATACTTGTATTCTTCCATTTTCTCTTCTGGTCTAGTTGATTCTAGAAAGGTCTTTTTCTCTGTCTGGAAGGCAACTTGTTTAAGCTCTCTTTTCTTGTTATGGTCAGAACTATGTGCTGAGTTATATTCTTTAATTAATGCCATTTTTCTCACCTGTGCCTTTGGGTCTTGAGGATTGAGTCTGTTTACCTGCCAAACAGTCACAACGAGATTCGACTTATCTGACACAGGATTCTCTACACCTGATTTATACTGCAGCTTTTTAGTTCTACTTTTTTTCTTCTGCTTAGACATTAAATCAATCCTAGTGGTACAAAAAAAGCATAGGGAATCCAATTCTTCCTCCGTTATTTCCTCAACTTCTTTTGGGGGCTTGGGGCTTTGTTGGTTTTGGGCAGTAGGATTTTCTTTGGCCTTGAGACAATTAATCCATTTTTTAAACCATTTGTTTTCTAAAGCAACGGAGTCTGTCACATTCAACAATTTGGTTTCATTCTTTAAACTTGTCTGTTTCTTACTTACAATATTTCTTCCAGAGGCGTGAGACAAGGTCTTGCATTGTCCTGAAGAACCCAAGGAGCCAGAGGTGTTTCTTTCAGTTTGCTTATAGTTTTCTTCTTCCTTTCCCTTCTTCGTAAAGGTCTCAGAGATCTCACTAGAGTTGTCGGAAAGGACACGACAGCAAATCTGCTCTGACTCCACTTTTGAAGTGCCAGGGCTACCTGGGCTTAGAGTTGTTGTTTTGCAGCTTTGGTGAGACTCCATAATGGATTAAATGAAGCAAGGCTCAGAGGGGCCTCTGCCCTGGCTGCCCTGGCTGGGTTCTCTTCTGTCTAGCCCTCTGACCGCATGGTCTCCCAACTGCCAGTGGTCTCGTGGGGCAGCGGATGAGGGAACAGAACTTAAAGCTCCTGGGACCATGAATGCAAGCTTGGATGCTTCCTCCAGTGGTTTCCTCGCGCAAAGCAAACATTGGGCTCGGGGTGGGGGTGAGAGTGGGAGCCCAATTCACAGAAGTAGAAACTGAAACTGGACTCAAAGCAGGACTTTTTTTCCAAGGTGAAAAACACTTCGTGTGACAGAAAAAGTCCGATGGATGGTGTCAGACGACGATACTAGGTAAAACAAAAGAAAACAAACAAACAAAAAAATTAGTGCTAATTTCTCTCAGTGGTCACACACCTAGTCCACGTTCCTGTCTGTACTATTCATGTCTGTCAGCAGCAAAACCTGATTGTTTTGGTTCTATATTTTGAACAGAGAAAAACGAGATTCTCTGAATAAAACAAAACAAAACAACAACAAAAATCACATTATTATTAGTAGTAGTAGTACTATTATTATGTAATATATTCTTTTTAAAAAGCACATTTCCTCATCAGTAATGCTGCAAAAGAAGAATCAGAACAAAAGGCGAAAACTACGAGACAGGAAAAAAAGCAAAAAAATAGTATGCTTTGATCTGCATTCAGACTCCACAGTTCTTTGGTTGTGGATAGCATTTTCCATCATGAGACTTCTGGAATTCTCTTAGATCATTGTATTTCTGAGAAGAGCTAAGTCTATCAAAGTCGATCATTATACAATGTTACTGTTACAGTGTACAACGTTTTCCTTGTTCTGCTCACTTTGCTCAGCATCAGTTCATGTAAGTCTCTCCAGGTTTTTCTGAAATCTGCCTGCTCATCATTTCTTATTGGACAATAATATTCCATTACATTCATATACAATAACTTGTTCAGCCATTCCCCAATTGATGGGCATCCCCTCAGTTTCCAATTATTTGCTACCACAAAAAGAACTGCTATAAATATTTTTTACATGTCAGTCCTTTCCCCCTTTTTTATGATCTCTTTGGGATACAAAACTAGTAGTGGTTTTGCTAGATCAAAGAGTATGCACAGTTTTATAGCCCTTTGGGCATAGAAAAGTCACATTTTTAAAAGGAAACATGCAACATGTAATTTATCCAATTCTCAATTAAGAATATAATTTATATTAAGGAACAAAATAATAAAAAGAAAAGATGTTTCTACCCTCTTTATCTCTCTGGCTATACCTTGTCTCCTTCATTGGCTCTTCTTTTTCACCCCTACTTCTAGGTTTCATTAAGTTTTCAAGCCTTAGCTACATGATAATCTTTCTTTGTACCCTTTTTCTAAAACATCATATCTACCCTTATTATTTCAAATATGAATTCTATGGTTATGGATCTTAATTCTAGAGTCTTGGCTTTTATCCTAATCTCTGATTTACTAATTATCTCAAAATTCACCCCACTGCTGAATGGCATATTTTTGCAATCCAAAGCTTATCAATTTAGATTTATTAGATTCAATTTATATTGGTTGCATCGATTATATATGTAATAGAGTTTCAATTTCATATAATTAAAATTATCTGTTTTATCTTTTGTGACCACTTCTATGCTTTTTAGTTAAATGCTTCCCTGAAATTATATTGATGAAACATACTTAATTTACTTCTCTTCATTTTTTTGGTATGACTTAATGTTAAACCAATTAATCTATTTCGAATTTATTGTGGTAATCAGCGTAAGACACTATCAACCTAATTTCTAGGCAGTTAGGTGCCACAGTGAATAGAATGCTAGACTTGGAGTAAGGAAGAACTGAGTTCAAATCCTTCTCAGTTATGGGTATGTATATCACTGCATTCTTTAAAAAAGTTTGATTGTATATTTATTATTTTTTGAGAATAATTTGTATATCATAGTTATTTGCTGTCCTTTAAATATTTGATAGAATCATTAGTAAATCCTTCTGGATTTTTTTCTTTGGTTTTCATTTTCTATTCAAATGCATTTTGCATGACTGAATTGCTTAAGGTCTCTTTCATGTTTTGATAATTTGGTTAAATTGTTTATTAAAAATAAACTCTCCATTCAATTTGAACTCAGTTTTCATGTCATACAATTGTGTATAGTAGGTTCTGGCAACTTAAAACATTCCATTTTGATTTTTAAAAAATTTTTATTTTGGAAATTTGATTTTTCACTCTTTAAGAAAGTTGTTGATTTTGTTAGTCTTTTCAAAGAACCACCTTTACTTTTGTTTACCAGTTCAAAAATCTTTATATTTTCCATTTTTTCCTATTTTTTAATTATGAAGGTTTCCTATTTTGTGATTATGTCAGATTTGTTTATTATTTTCTAATTTTAGTGGTATATTTAGCTCATTGATGACTTTTTTCTTTTTTATTAATGTGTTTTGAGAAATATTTTCCACTAGAGATTTATTTAGCTGTTTCCCAGCATTTTTCTGTACTGCTTTATTATCATTCTTTTCCACACAATTATTCATTGTATGATTTGTTCTTTAATTTCCTTTTTATTTGCACCATTATTAAAACTTCATTTGTGACTGTATCTTTTGCTTGTACTGCCTGCCTTAATGGTAGTTATCGTTCAGTTGTTTGACTCTTCATGACCCCATTTGAGGTCTTTTTGTCAAAGATATTTGAGTGGCTTGTGATTTCTTTCTCCAGCTCATTTTACAGATGAAGAAATAGATGCAAACAGGGGTAAGTGACATGCCCCGGGTCACATAGCTAGTAAGCATCTGAGGCTAGATTTTAACTCATGTCCTTCTGACTACAGGCCCGGCACTCTATCTACCGTGCAACCTAGCTTCCTACTATTTTTCACTTGTTATGGTATGTGAAGTATGTTAATATTTTTCATTTTTTATCATTTATCTGTGTCCTAACATATCATATTTTAATGACATGTAGTGCCATGAAAAAGGATTGTTTATTCTTTTAGGTTTCCTTTCAGAGGATGATTTTATAATAAATTTGTTCAGTTCTACATTTTCCTTTCTGATAGGTTTGTCCAAATTTTAGACAGGAACATTAGCATTTCCTGTTAATATTGTGCCTTTTCTGCCTGTCAACTAACTTTTTACTCAAAGAATTAGATGCTATGCCATTTGGTGTCTATTGAACATTTATACCATAAGCTCTGGTTGAATTTCAATGGCTTCAAGCTAATGGATCAGCTCATATTTTAGGTAAACTTAACCACAACCCATTTCAAGATTCATGATTCATCTTGAAATGAATCACAGCACTCCATTCTAGATTTTCCCTAATGTTATAGGGCAAATTCTATCATCTTTCCCCAAAATATGAGTCAGGCTTAGGCGTCTTTTCTTACTTTGAGAGGGATTAGTTCTCCATAAAATGAGACAAAGCTGCCCCCATTTGGGACAAGATTAGCCCACACTTCCCATGATGCAACTTCTTCTCCTCTTCACCCACTCCAAACATGGTAGTCCAGGTTATTCCTACTTCACTTCTGAGACAGGGATTAGCTTTCCCTGAAAGGAGACAAAACCATTCCTGATTGGTCTCGGTTTCCCTAATGGCATAAAGGGTTCCAGCCTTGTGGAGTCTAGGCTCCTCAACTTGGTGGGTGTCTGAGGCCACATGACTAGTCATAGCCTGTCCTCACGATCTGTTGGCCAAACACATTTCAATAAGGAGGAAGAGAAGGTTCATTTACCAAAGCTGAAGATTAGTGTCCCAGTGTCTTTATTGCACATACTTACTACTAAGGAAGTAAAGTGTCTCATTTCATTCCAAATTTGAACCTCAACTAAGAGAATACTAATGTTAGGCAGACTTCTAACACCTATTATTAATATTGTGAAAATTATAGTAATAATGTTTCACATAAGAAGGGACTTAACCTAAAACCCTACAAATGCTTTTTTTAAATATCATCATAGAATATTCATTTACATACAGCCTAAGCATATACCCATTTATATCTATGATCTGTCTCATGCTTTTATGACCTGAATCAGTTATATTATTTGGACACAATTTGCCTGAAACAAATCAAGTGAATCATATGTTCTCTTGTTGTCTCCTCGCACATATTCAGCTAATTTGGACAATAATAATACATTATGAATTGTCACAGAGAAAAATTATTCTAGGTATGGTCAAGCAATTTATTTCTTTGAAAAATTAACATTAACCCTATTACCTTATTGTACTAACTTCTCTAAATTTTCTTCAAGCAGTTTTCACAAAATTATTTTTGCAACAGCATTCAAAATAATGAAAATTCACTTAGATTTCTGAAATGTGATTGTTATGCTAAAATATAGCAACCAAATCTTCACACTTCTTAAAGTTTTATAATTCCTTCTTTGCCTATTTTCCCAAATAGTCTATATAGTATTGGAATTAATTGTTCTTTAAATGTTGGGTAGAATTCACTTGTAAATCCACCTGGCCCTGGAGATTTTTTCCTAGGGAGTTCATCAATGGCTTGTTCAATTTCTTTCTCTGAGATGGGGTTATTAAAGTATTTTACTTCCTCTTCTGTTAATCTGGGCAATTTATATTTTTTTGTAAATATTCATCCATTTAACTAAGATTGTCAAATTTATTGGCAAACAGTTCGGTAAAATAGTTCCCAATTATTGTTTTAATTTCCTCTTCCTTGGTGGTGGACTCACTTTTTTCATTTTTGATACTAGTAATTTAATATTCTTTCTTTTTTTTTAAACTAAATAAACCAAAGGTTTACCTATTTTATTGTTTTGTCATAAACCAGCTCTTAATTTTATTTATTAGTTCAATAGTTTTCTTAATTTCAATTTTATTAATTTCTCCTTTGGTTTTCAGTATTTCTAATTTGGTGTTTAATTGAGGATTTTTAATTTGTTCTTCTTCTAGTTTTTTTTTTTTTCAGTTGTATGCCTAATTCCTTGATCTCCTCTTTCTCTATT